ATATATTTGTCACCGCCCTGCTCCCCGGAGCCCACTACATCAAAATTAATAATTCGATTGCATTTTGCAAAAAGGAACCAGAAGAATTATAATGATGCTAAGATTGTGCATTTTCATCATTTGCAATGAAATTACTGAAACCATGAAAAAATATGAAATTCACAGTTTTTAGCGAGTAAAATAGAGACTGTTAATAGAAAATCAGGTTTTTCTTCCAAGACAAAAGAAGTTGCTCAATCTTAGCAACATTGCAATGCCCCTGGTTCCTTTTTGCAAAGTGCAATCCAATTTTTCTCCCGGTTTTTGGCTGATAACTCAGTGAATGTTCCTTATCTGTCGATTTGTCCGATACATAGACCTTGAATTCTTTTATCACAGTACCAGGCAGTCCTTTTGGGGTTCTGAGAGTGACTCAGAGAGAAGGAGAAAACATTTTGATGCTTTGTTTGAGAAGAAGCCCAGAAGTTTCATCCTTGCGATTCGAACTTGGGACAAACTCCATGAAACGTCCCGCGGAAAGGAAAGGTCATCCATGAAGGGAAATAAAATTTTGATTATCTCTCCAGCCCGGCCTGAAATTTTTCTTGTACAAAATCCACCCATCATTATTCTACAAAAAAATAAATAAATAAATAAAATAAAAACCGAAGGCCCCAGAATTAATTTAGGTCAATGTTTTTTATCTCTTTTTTGACTAGCAGGGAGAATACCATATTCTTTTCTCTCTCTTTTTAATATAAACCTACCTATAGTTATAGGTACCCCTACTTTCATTCTATAGCAAAAAACGGGGAGGATACGCTCAAAAAACCATGTAGAGGCCATTATTTGCGGAAAATGACTGGACTAATGACTGTTAAACGGAATTTTTATGCCTCAGCAGTTTGAAAGAGGGGGCCGACCCGGTGACTCGTGCTCGTTATCAGCAGATTTGATTGCGAATTTCGTGCGTCGCGCAATATTTCTATCCTAGCAGAGACGTGAAATAACGAAAAACTTAAAATCGTAAAATTTCACGTACGTAAAACAGTTCCGTAAATTTCCGAAATTCATGCGCTGCGTGCTTCAAATTGCCAATTATCAGTCAAACACACGGTGTCTATAACAAAGTCCTTAACTTTACCGGCTGCAATAATATATACTCGGGGCAATATTATCAAATTTCAGCGATTTTTCACATCGACAAACCGCACGCATAAGAATAAAAACGAAAAAAAAAGAACAAAAGAGGGGGGGGGGGAATGCATTCATTTCACTGCAAATGTCAGAAAATTGTAAGCCATTTCATCCACAAGGGTCCATCATAAGATTAACTTAGGATTTTAATTACTGGTTAAGATTTATTCCTCTCTTCACAGTTCACACGAAGCTTAGGACATCGGGCTCCCCCTCGCGCGTGGGGTGAGCTAAGAGAACCCCCCCCCCCTTACGAGTCGTCTCTGATTGGCCAATCCGCCTGATGCCCACTTGCTGGGGCCCGTAGGAAAAATAAAACGACTTTCATTTTTTACCGAAAATGTCTCGAAAACAAGGAAAAATTGATACGTCGAAGATTTCAAAAATCAATTTTCCAGATTTTTCTGAAGAAACTGATGGCTTTAACAATCAATACATGACTCATTAGTGCATGTATTACAAAACATGTCTTTCTTCTCAACACACTGAACAGCACGACCTGGAATTTTTTCATTTTTTTTTAAACTTGAAATAAGATGCAAATTGTCAAGCAATTTATATAGCAGCTCTTGTTTTGGGGTGAGAAATTTTTCGATGAAAATTGTTTTCCTCGACAAGAAATGAGCTACAACAGAGAAGCAAACTGATTTCTCAAATTCTCGGGGCTAATGGGAACTTCTGACCTTGATGTTGTAGAATGAGGAATGTGCCGAAAATACAGCGGTATTGAGATGGAGATCTCGATTAATTGTTACTCCAAGGAACTTTCTGCACCCCTCCACCGTGATATAAATTTGTTAAATCTGCCTGGTGATTCAACGAAAGAGCACATGGCACGAATCGCCAGATTTCAGCGGTCATTTCCGCAAGTTAGCAACGCTGTTATTCCCTTATTTAGATCGATTTCGAACGATCGATTCTTGTTGAGGCAGCTCGTCTGGGTGGATATCGATTGTCTTACATATACGTCAATGGACAAGATCCAGTCATTCAGTTAGTTTAGTATTGTCCAATTTCTAGCTCTCACCACACTCAACTGTATCCCTTGGTAGAGCGAATAGAAGGTTACAATATTTTTCAACTTTGCAATTCCTCATTAATTTTCCACCGCCAGTGTCTCATAAAGACTCATGGAATAATTGGTAAAACAAATGTATGGCACATTCCTTCCAAAAGTTAAAAAGACATGAATGATTTTGAAAGAAGCTGGGAAGTGGGCTGGCATGGAATGATATTTGGTATAATTTAATTTTTTCATTTAGAATTAGAAATTGCTGCACTGATGGGAATACATTGCTGTTGTCTCGTTTCTTCCTACCAACATTCTAAAGAAACAAATTTTTGATTTCTAAGAATTAAATAATACTACATCTTACTCATACTTAAAGAAAGGAAAAGAACCTGTCTGATTGAGCCTGATCATTCATTATCAAAAATTGAACTATTGCGTTATAAAACAAAATTCATTAAATATGGCTGTGCACAAATAAAAGAAGGAGTATGAAAAAATATAGGAAAAAAAAAAGAAAAAATAGGTGATGTAGCAGTTTGAAAAAAAAGCTAAGAGTCTATTTCATAATATTATTGAGCTAGGTGGAGGTTGGACATTTTACGCAGTAAATAATATTAGCATGAGAGTAATTGGTAAATAGACTGTCTCACTTTCCTTATCTGTACATACAGAGTATACGTATTGATACAGCTGCTCCTAACTCTAGTGTGATTTTGACAGTTCACAAACAAACGACTGTGATTCATTTAATCAACAGCGAAACAGTGGTAAAGCTAGGGTAAGATGCACAATGAATTTTAGATACTTGAGGCTTCCATCAAGGGAATAAAACTCGGAGAGAGAATTTAAAAAGTTAGTCCCTTGATAAGCACGCCTGTTGGTTTTTAACACTGAAAATTTCAAACTAATCATTGAATCAATTTTCAGAAAAAGTTTTGAAGGATGATAAGTACCTAAACAATTGGGCTAAAAAGAGATTTTCAGATTAAACGCTGAGATCGGGGCATATTTATTTGTTTCACAGTATGTTTCAGCATCAAAATGCGGCAATAGTATTGACTAATTATTTTTGGTATTCATCAGGATTGTTTTGGGGAAATGGTGAAGTTTCTTTTCAACTTCCAGCACAGATCCCCATTCTAATTTCTGATTAAGGCACCACTTTAAGTGGTACCTTTCTGCTGTGTTGAGTTAAAAACCTCTGACACAAACAATCGTTGCTCGCCAAAAGTGAGGAGAAATTCAAAGAAAAAGTAGATAAACCTTGTGACGATGCCAATCCAGAGGTTCTTTGAAACAAGGGCATATAAACTGAGCAATGCTACCAGGACAGCGCAACGTGCATCATATGCAGATGAACCATTTAAAAGATCTATAAGAATTCGTCTCCTACAAACTTATTTTCCGTTTTTTCACGCATTTGGCTCTGAAAACAATGTGAACACTGCTTGTTTTGGTATGCTGCAAATGAAAATAAGCCTTGCACAATCTTACCAGCACTGTAAAGCTTAAACGCGTTTGTTCCTTGAAAATTATCGATGGGACAAATAAGAAAATTTGTTACCAATTCTTTTAATCCTGGTGATTATTTCAGCACCTTTAAATTTGTAACGATTACCTAACAGTTATTCAGGATTCATCAATATTTCATAAATGAATCAGCATCAGTAAGAACCAAATAAATATGTTTTCACTAGCGTTTGACTAATAAACTTCTTAGTTGATGAACATGCCCCCTTTTCATATGAAAACCAGAAATAATGATCATGCTCTTAAATTTAACTGGTTATCCTGTTAACATTCTTAGTGATTTCATTAAATTTCGATGATTAAAAATACCTATGCAAGAGCACACTTGACAATCAAAACAACAATATAATGATTACTTAGCTCACATCCACCATAACGGTGCTGATCATTGACTTGCGGTGCTTAGTGAAGTCAGAAGTACAGTGCAGCACCTCAAAAAAAGAATTTCCATCCTGCCGTAGGAACAATAAGAAGCTTTCGGAAAAGAGAAAGTTGTCGGGATATCATCTCGGATCAGCAGGTCAATATCAAAAGACAGTAAAATACGGAAGACCTTGGAATCAGATTAAACTGGAATGCTCCTTAACAAATTGATTGGTTGAGTCGCAACGGATTCTTGAAATTCAAGTTTCTAATAATTAGTTGCTGTAGATATTTAAAGTTCATCTTCTCTCCAATTCATTACACATTCACTAATGAGTCATGAAATTGGATTAATTTCGAATTATTGACAGCATAATACACATTGTATTTGGGACATTTGTGACGAGAGGTCAAGATATTAGCACGGCCTAGAGAGTGAGAAAGATTTTGAGATTTTATCAAATAGTTCAAGCACTTCACACAGAGCAAGGAGAAACAGTTTTTCAGCTGATCGAACATGCAAAATGCAGCATTTGAACTTAAAGATGTAGAGATTATGAACACACATGCGTCCCCCTGGTAAAGCAAATAGGTCCAACGAGTGGAGGTAATTGGAGGGTGAATTTTACACAAACGTCAAACATGGAGCAGCCGGAGACTATGTATGTACAAGGCTGGGGGTGTTGAAAAAGATACCTGAAATGTTAGAGATGCTATCTAAAATCCTTGAAAAGAAGGCTGAAGAAATGCCACAAAAATAAATTAGCGGATGATCCCATTCTAAAAAGGATCGGGGTGCTTCCTGAAAGAGGTAACTTTTTCATAGGTTAGATAATAAATCAATATAAAGTAAACAGAGCATTTTGGAGCAATAATGAATAGGAGAGAACTGAGAAGTTGGAGGTCCATGCCTGCTTACCTGTTGGGTGTTGTTGATGGGGTTGCAGAACACGTTTTTCGGCTGTGGGGTTGCCGTCAGCTTTCCCCGCAATGACAGCTGCACCATTTTTGAGGGTCCACGGGTTCACTTTGGGGATTGATGCTTCCACATATGTTATTTTCTTTTCTGCCGATGCTCCATTTACTTTGTTTTCATCGCCAGCCTTGCCCTGGTTCACTTTACTTTTGTCTTCACTCTGACTATCACTCTTATCGCTGACGGGACGTTTATCAGGCTTGCTGGGGTGTTTATTTTCTTTAACATGTCGAGAAGAATTTCGGGGGATTTTAGCAGCACTTGGGGCTGAAGAATTGTCAGCCACATTGGAGCTAGTTCCATTTTTTAAAGCCGTTTTGGGGTTCGAAAGTGCCTCACTTTGCGGAGCCGTAGCTGGCTTGCCACTTTTGGGGAGAGGATTTGAGGCTGTTTTAGGGACTGTTTCTTCAAGAGGGGCACTTTCCTTGGCAGAAGAACTAACAGCAGCCGTTGCGTGAATATTTTCTTTGTTGCTGTCGATGTTCTTCGCAAGGGCACTGGCATACGAGATGCCGGTGGTCTCCGGACCACTGGCCCCATCTTTAGCTTGCGCTGCAACGTGCGCCGCCATTGTAAATAAGCGAGTCTAGCGTCCTCTAAATGCACAGTCCACGAGGCACGGAGAAACGAAATAATTTTCGTCACAAACTACACGATCTAAACCGGTAGGAATTACGAGAAGATGTTGTCCACAAAATCATTTTCAACACAGAACCATCGTGCGAGACGAATAACACTGATTACAGATTCTCAAAATCTGTGAAAACACGTTGCCACTGACCACCCGTAAACACCATCCGTGCACCTGACCGAATTCAGAACTTGCGAAGCGAAACCGCACTGCTGATCGATAAAAATTATTCGCAAATGTGTGAGGATGATAAGTAAACCCGAAAACTGATCAGTAATTCGATATGAATCCAAAAATAACAGAAGCACAATGAAGAACGCCCGTGGTTGAGAGCAAGGAACGTATGTGTAAATATACAACGCACTAAGGTGAGGTTAAAAGTTGACCGAGCCTTCAGTTCGATACTATAATTTAAAACTATGGATATTCACACTTAAAAACACTAAATTATTACCGGATATTCGATAACTTCGTCAAAATGTTTGATTTTCGAGTAATTCACCAGGGAAAAAAGCTAAACTTGCCAACTAACCATGTGGTGTTATCGTGAGTTCGACCGTCGGTAGTTCTTGTTTACGCCGACAGGTGCGCCACCTACTGAGCAATTTTTTTTGTGCTATTTTTTTATGGTGTTTTTGTTTTTCCAAGACGTTTTTACGATTTACGATTAGCGTGGCCAATGATTCAAAGACAAAGTGCTGAAGAGGGGGTGGAGCTTACTTCATACTAAACGATAAATTTGATGGCGAATGCCAAAGTTGATTGAAAATAGCGGCAGTCACGACGTTACGAACTTATTGCGTGTGAATGTACATCAAGCATCTAATCTGCCGTGCTGAGGAAAAACGCCGTATGAGCCATCAGGGGTTGCCAAGTTTACTTCAATGAAAACCGAATTTACTAGGAAAATGAGGAAATTTTATTTTCAACATTTTCAGACAATTTTGAATAAAATATCTGCAAATTTCAAGGAAAAATATGCATGAGTGTCCTCAATAATACATGTTTTATCAAAGGAAATTTGGCAATTTTTGGATGTTCATACAGCATTCTTATGGTAATAATGTACATACGGGCACAGGTGATGCTGGGTACAATATTATCAAGTAAGATCCAGTTTTAAACTATGCTTATATTATCTCAGAAATATTTGAAAAAAAGACCAAGTTTTTGAAAGCAGTGAAAAAATGAAGGTGTAAAAACTTTCCTCTCGAAACTTTTCCTTGAGGATCATACACCCAATGGCGAGGTCTAAGGAGGGGGGGGGAGGAGACTTTTCCATCCTTGTGAACAGGAATAAAAGGAAGAAAAAAAAATATATGCATGCTCCCAGTGCAATTTTCAGTGTGGAAGAAGATGCCTACTTAAAAAAATTACTTTCGGCAGGAGGAGCAAATTTTTTTTTTCAGGCCGGTGATAAGGAAGATCCAAGATGCTATTTCAGCTGTTGCTATCCCAGTGCTGGTAGACATTTGTAAAAAATGCAAAAAGGTATGGAAATCTTTAATTTTTCGGCCTCACTTATCGAGGGAGGAAATTCGCAAATTCTGTTGACCAATACGAATATGGAAAAAAAGCAATGAGTGAAAACACAGTGCAGAAGCACCCTTTTCCATATTCTTCAAAAACAATAATAAAAAAACTTTAAGGAATGTATCATTAATTAATGACATTTGATTTTCATTTAAAAAAACGAAGCATCCCAAAAATTGTTTGCTAAGTGAAAGACAGTTGGGCTGATGTATTGTAAAAGTGTCTCCTTTTCTACGATGACTCCTTAAATAATGATATAGCCCTTTTTCCAGGCACATGATATGCAGGAAAATAATCAAACTGCTCAGTACAGTAATTACTTTTCAAAAAGAAGAAATTCAATTAACCAAAATGATACTGCCATTCATTTTTAAAAATTTAAATTAGATCTAAAGTACTCAGGCTTTTAAATCAATTGCTAAATCTTGATTGTACATTAGACACACTGCCAGAATTACATTACAGTATTCAACATTGAGCACCAAGGGACTGAAAACTTTAATATGTAATCTTTGAAACAATTCTGAAACTAAAATGATGGAGATTTAAGCTGCTCTCACACAAGCAGTCCCAACTGTACAGTCCGACAGGGTGCAAATATGCCCACAGAATGTCAATTTTGCCGGTAAATGTCATTGATTCTACAGTCGACCTGCTCGTTTGACAGTGGCTTGAAAATAAATTGATTAGTTTCACATTTTCTGAACTTAAATCAACTCCTCATTATTGCATTCTAATAAGAGAACAAAAAAATAAGGCAAGATGATCAAATTCAATTTCATTTAATTTGATTTGAAATCATACAAGATAAGTAGAGGATACTTGTACACTTCAAAGAACATTTTTTTGTTGATAATTACAAAACTCGGGAATTTCTGTAGGTCATGTTTGATTGGTTGGTTAGAACTTTGAAATGATGCCTCACACAACTGAGCAATCCCAATTTGAGATTGTGCTTCCTTGAGCTGATTTTCAGTTTCCGTTCCAGATCATTGACGCAAAGTTTAGTTAATGCATATGACACCACATCTAAAGCCTGAGGAGAAGAAACAAAGATAAAAATTGACAAGTGAAAACTAAAATTTTACTTTTACACAAAACTAAGATTTTACTTCTACACAACCAGAATATTTATAGTCCTTTCAACTTCAAATTTTTCCTTGAAATTCAGCAAAATAAAAATCAAATTGAGTGAAAATGAGCAAATAAAAACAAAAGAGCGGATCATAAGTGGCTATCGTGAGTTTGATCAATATTCATTGGTGTGACTAATAAGTGTCCAAGAAAGAGAACAAATTTTCAAGGGTATGTTGATCGAATTATGACAGTATATCGACAGTAAACTGCACAAAAATGCGATTTACTGTAATACTTGAAAATCTCCCCTCTCGTTTTATTTTTTAAAAGGAGACCGAACCAACATTATGGCTTGAAATTTTCATTTAAATACTTTGCTTACAGAAGAAAAGTCACCGAAGTTTTAAAGAAATGACATTTAGTAGTTTTGTACGTAGAGAATACAATGAAACAGGAAGTCTGTAATGCTGTAAGCCAGGATGCGCATTTTTTAAGTTTGGCTATCAATATGCTCTATACTAACATGTAGACATGATTTTATCAGCCTTGTAGTTGTTTAAGTGTTACATGTGACATGTGTAGAAAGATATCTATTAAAGTTCAATCTGATAATTAAAAAAAAGAAAAAAAAGTTGCTATGCAGTTGCAATGCATTGTTAATGCTACCTTGTTTCACTTTCTCTCCTTGGAGGTCAAAAAACTTGATGGAATGGAATACCTATGGTTCATAGAGCACTTGGTTTTGAAAAAAATTGACAAGGGATTCACTTAAAAATGAATGATTTATGTAGGATTACCTCTGTACTTTTGCCTGAGCTTTTGATGACATAGTTTTCAGAGATTAGAGCTTCCTTTCTTTTCTGTTTGATTTCCGACTCGAGCTGCAACAGTAAAATTAAACTTGAAAATATTTAAAAAAAAAAAGAGGTCTGAGTACCTCTGCTGCATGCAACATTCAGCTTCCTTGCTCTAAAAGTTGAATAAAAATCATAATTATATTCTGGTGGGTGGTTAGTACTTCCGACTTACGATTCCAGTTTAATTAGAATTTGATCATAAAAGTGTTTCTACATTAAGAAAATGTTCGGTCCGACAACATTTCGTTTCTTTTTCAATTTGTATAATAAAAGCCTTTAAAAGGAAACTTTCAGCCTTGCCATGCTCAAAGTATAGAAGGACCTGGTACAGAAAACCAAAGAATTTGGCACAGACTAAATTTGGTTATTATTTAAAATGATGTCCTTTATGATCTTTTGAGCATGATGAGTTTTTAAAATCGAACTTCCTATGTGAAAATTTTGAGAAAAGCGAGGCTGAAAAGTGAATATTTCAGAATTTTCACATGCACTATCTGGCAAAAATGGTACAACATCTGATTGTTAATCAAAAGGAGCTTCTGTTTCTTTGCCGGCCAAGAAGATAAAAGAGACCGAAAGAATCCAAATCCTCTGAATGATAACATAGTACAGCACACCATCCACACACACATGCTGCATCTTCAAAGGAAAACGCATGTAAGAGTGCCAAAAAATTCACTTTTCAACTCCACAAGTATGCTTTTTCAGATCAAAATTGGCACTCAAATAGTTCGATCTTAAAAACTCATCATGCTCAGGAGGTTGCAAAGAGCATCATATAAAATAAAAACAAATTTTAGCCAATACCAAATTTGTTGGTATTCCGGGCAGAGTCCTAGCTTTAAGAGGTTATTTCAGGAAACAGTCATCTGCACCACAACAATAAATACACGAATTACTTATACATAATCGGGATTTTAAATTCTACCTGAAGTATATTCAAAATAAAATTATGTATCTAAATTTGTACTCATTGCGATAAAGAATAGCTAAATTAGCACCCAAATGTTTAAGTTATTATATATTTTCTTTCATTTCTATTGAGAGAGCTCTGCTGTGCAGTGAGCACTTGCTGAAATGAGCAAACATTGCCTTTAAAATATTCAATAACATGGAAAAACAAATGTACATACTTTTTTCCGTTTCCTACGAAGGTTCACAAGTTTCTTTCGATTAAGTTTGATGTGTTTTCTGATACTGTTCAGCTCTTGACTTAAAGAATCAACTAAATTGACCGAAGCTGTCAAGGATTTTTCAGCACTGCCTGGAAAATATCCGAGAGCAAGGTAAAACATACAAATGAACAAATCCATGAAAAACATACTGAGTAGTGTTCTTGTAATTTCATATCATTCATGTCATCTTATGGATGGAAAAAACAAGGCGGCCATTTCAGTTATATTGGACTTTACTAGAGTAACGGACATCCAAATTATGAAAGCTCATCCTTTTTGTGGACATTCTTGGTTTCTACAATGTTTTACGAACAGGAAACTTACTCAAGACAGAAGACTTTGTAATCAGCAAATATCACTTCCGAATTCATACTTTTTGTTGATCAACTTTTGACTCTATAACCAAAGATTATTTATTATGGGCAAGAAATAAAGGCCTTTCAACTTCCTAGAACTACATGTTGATGTAGTAGTAAAACTGTCTCGTTAAGATGCTCCTTACAAATAATAATAAAAAAAAAAAACACCTAAAATTTTATAAATTTACTGTCTAGAGCTTACTGAATAGTTAAAGTGAAATTACTTGATTTTGAGAAAAGCGCAGGTTAAATTTTGAAAAGTAGAGCATGTTGGAAAGCTTCATTCTGCATTCAATATGACAAACAGTGAGCCAAAAGTTGTTATAAAGGTTCTTTAGTGTACTAAAATTACTTTTAGCAGAAGAGAAATTCCACATTATTGATTAAAATTCCATTTCTTCTATTCCTCGAATATTTTGCACTTGGCAATTATGACCCTATTGTAGCTGTTTTCACATTGATGACCAGAGCTTGAAACCATGTATTATAGATTGCAAGGTTGTAGACTTCCTTTCATACTTCATTTTTTCTTTGAGAAACAAGTCAACGTAATAAATTGAAAACTTTTTTCACTTTTCTTCCCTCTTAGCAGAATACTCTGTATAAATTTCAAGCTATAAAGTTGCCCTATTTCTCTTCGAAAAAAATAAAAAAAGAGGAGACATTTTGAAACATTGCAATAAAGATACGTGCTTTCTATCTTTCACCCTATATGAGTACTTGCTACAAAGTAGGGTGGAAAATACATTGTTGCTTTACAGAAAACAAATTGAAAAATAGATTACAAATGCAAACCTAAAGAACGTTTTGTCAAAGCTAAACAATGGCACTTCTGGTGTAGCAGTTTGCGCAATTCTTGATTCTGTATCTCCAAAACATCAAAGTCAATAGCATAAATAGTCGAACTTAGCTCTTCCTTATCTTCCATTCTCAGCAGTACTTTCTTTTTCTCAATACTTAGAATAGTTTTGTTTGTTTTCGCTTGGTTAATGTTCTGGATTATTTGCTTCAACACACCTCTCATAAAACTGAAAAACGTAAGATAAAAAAGTCTTAAGTCATGTACCATTCATAATTGCAAATCGCAACTCCTTATTGAAAATTCACTTGAGTGCGAGTGTAAACAGCATCTGTCACATCTTTCTGACCAGCGAGGGAAGAAAAGCTTTCCTCGATCGCTAAGTTAGTATTTTAATATTTTTCTAGTGATTCGTGTTAACTGCCGGAAAATTCACTTTGCAGCCTATTCTTGTCAAAATTGGCATGTAGGGACAGGGTCTCTACAAGTCTGGATAACCTAAACTTACCCTATATAGACGCCGACATTAATTTTGGATTTAGAATCAGACTTTGAAAGCAGCATCAATTTTTTTGTGTATTCCGTCAAGTCTTTTATTCGGATTGCAACTTCTTCCAAACAGGCTGTGATATTAGATTTTTGCCTTCTCATTTTGACAATCAAGTTGTTCAGTTTTGATTTCATGCTGTTCATTTCTCGACTGACAATATCGTGCCGAAACTCATAGCTTATGCTGAAAGAGAAGAAGAAGGAAAGGAATTCTTACTTTGCTGGTAGATTGAATTGAATTGGAGATGATTGGAAAATTTAACTTAAAATCTCTGTAGAAAAGTACATGCCTTGATCTACTGGCAGAATGAAAAGAATTAAAATTTCGATTGTCAAATTACAGCTATAGAAAAAAATAAAAGACAGATATTGTAACAGGCTGAATAGCAAAGCAACAGTAAAACTGCAAGCACGCCTAGCTACTCTTTATCTATACTCCGCTCTCGTTTCACTTTATCAAAAGAGAACAAAACACCACTCTCGCTTGAAATTTTCAAATATTCTTCCAAAGGAGAAGAAAAATTAGGGCAGTTTGGAAGTAATGACTGTGAAAATTTTTCCATTTAAAAAAATAAAAGTAAAACAGTGAGTCTACAACGTTGCAAACCAAGATCACGATAGGTATTTTCAAATAGCATTACATGGATTTAGTTCTGCTAACAAAGATGACTGTATTTATAAAATTGATCGTTCCTAAAAAGTTTTCATTTTTAGAGATTTTCCCAGACTATCCTAAGAACTTATCACCCTGAATTAAGATAAATACTTACTGTGGTATTTTGAGAGATTCGGACGCAGGCAGCGTAAAAGTCGACGTAGGTCCAACAGAGTGCACAGAATCAGCCTTTGATATCTGCGAAGTTCGACTCCCAGCTCTTGATATAGGCTCCAGAGATTGGACGATGATTTGAGATTTGGCTATGTTTTCATTCACTTTTTCTAATAGTTTATCCATTCCTGAAAAATACAAGGATAATGAATAAATCAAATTAATGGAAACAAGATAGATAAATCTCATACAGCAATCTCTTTACTTTATTTCTTTTGTATTCATTCCATCTCATTAAACTGGGTGCTTGTGATGGAAGCAGAAGAAGTTTTTTTTTCTTATTTTCGCTTTTCTTTAAGAGTACAGATTTTTTTCCTTCCAAGTATGCAGTATCCACCGAATGAGGGATCTTTGACCGTGAAGGTGCAACTTTCAGTGGAGCCATTTTTGTTGAAAGACTGAATTTTGATGGAAATCTCTCTTGATTGTCCTGTAGATTAAGTTGTGAACTGTTCAGTTCACTTTTGTGCCGATGAAGGGCATAAAGTGGCACTATGACACAGCAGCTCCCAACTCAAAACTGATTAGGGCAGGACTTTAAGTAGCTTTTTTCCCGAAACCATGTTTTTTGGATGATAATAATAAAACAAATAAACTTCAAACCGACATAATCTCCATTTGGTTTGACATTTCTTGTCCCAAAAAGATCGTACAACACTCTTCTGTTTTAGTATTAATAAATCAATTTTGAGTTATGAAGGATTTAGGTACTTTTCCCCGTAGATGGTTATTGGTCACATTAATGTTGATTTACATGATTGCAGTTTTCTTATTTCTGCTTGATAGAGCCCATTTCAGATTACTTTTCCTTTTCTGCTGTATGCGCAGGACAGGGAATTACATACAACAAAAGTGGAAAAGCAATCTGAAATGGGCTCTACTTAGTCTGTGTTGAGAAGTTACTTAGTGAGCAATCTTTTTCTTATTTCCTGAGGATTTAATTAAGTAATTGATTGCGATGAGAATTAGTTCCTTTTTTTGTAGAGTATACATCTTCCAAGAGCTGCCTACTTCAATTGCTTTGATTAAAAAAAAATTAATTTTTCAAAAATTTTGTAAATCGTTGAGTAATAATTATCATAGTTAGGTAAGTATACCATCAATTGATGCAGGATCAACTTTCAAGAGGTACTTCTCCAAAATTTCATTCTCCACTGATAAAAGCAAATTTTTCTCTTCAATCTGTGTAATTTTGTTTTGAGCATCTGCATTCTCTGAAAAAAAGAAGAGAGAGACAAGAGTACTGTATACTTCACTAGAATTAGAGTTTCTTTATAATTGTGAGTTAGTGCAAAACTGAAATTGATTTCCTGTCTCAAGTGAAACTGAGCAAAATAAGAGCACTCATCTTCTAACTTTGCAACAGAACTTCCCAAGTATTTCGATTAATTTGAACAAAGTAGCTCTCTCCTTCATTTAAAAAGGGATAAGGTCGGTCATTTCAAGTAATTTAAGTCTGGAGCCCCAATTTTGGTAGCTCTAGCTGGCCACAAATGGAATTATCTGTCTCAGAAATGGTGGACTCATTCAATCAGAGAGCTTCTGCTGGCTTGCAGACAGTTCAAGTCAGCCGTAACTTAAACACCGACAGTCAAAAGAATTCTATTCCGAATTAATCAAAAGAGAAAAGTTTTTACCCCTGCTTAAAAAACCGTGATTCACTGGGAATTGAGGTGCTAGAAGGCATTCAGATCTTGATGACAATGACAGTTGAGTTTCACTTCCTGAGTCAAAATCTGATGGAGTTGCAACTTGTGATTGATCACTCATGTTGAGTTGAAATTCTGATTGATTTGGCAAAAAAAACACTTGAATGTTGTTATTGTTTCATGCATAAACTTCTTGAACGGAGTTCTGACCCTATCTTGGTTACCATGGTAACTACAAGGTTGTTTTGCATCCCGTTCAGAGACTGGTGTAAAGATGGACGTTACGATTTAAAACTACCTAATCTAAGCAACTTGATGGCATTTCCTGACACTTAAAATTTAGCATGAAAAAAAGAAAGAAAGAAAGAAAAAAAACTCATCAGCCTTATTATTGCACATTTTACAAATTCTTAGAAGATCTTGAAAAAGGATCCTTCCTCCATTTGAGGTTAATTTTTGTGAGAGACTAATTCATTTCCTGAAATCAAATTTTTTTTCCCCCCAAAAATACCACGGACATCTCACATGACTATGAGAGAACAATCAGATCAGTATAAGGGGACAAACTAAGCCATTACAGAAAAACATCTCATCAAAAGATGAATTTAGCGTTTGATTATTAGAAAGATGTAATGTGCTATTGGACAATCGTTTCATTAATTGCAAGAGATAATAGGTAAAACCAGTATGTAACAGAACTTATTCTATTCTCCAGTACATTTAACTTCAACAAAGCTGCCGTGGAGGAGGGTATTCCAAGTACTTCAACCGAAGTTTAGGTTTATTGGAAATACCATTTAGGACTTCTGTCAAAATTAAATAAAATATTTGTACTGAAGATAGAGCATTCTAGAAAAAAAAAAATGAAAGTGTACTTAACTATTATTGCTGAAAGTGTGAAACCTGATGTAGGAATTTCCCTTGACACAAATCTGGTCAGTGGTAAAGAATTCATAAATTCGACAAACCACACACATTTTTCCATAAAAATCTGTCTGACAGGTCTCTAAGGTTGACAATTCCGTGTCAAGCAAGCAGTTTAAGCTAACTTAGAGAAGGAAAATGATTATTCATTGTGCGAAGAGACATGTTTTGGAAAAAAAGCTTGTTACCATGATTCTGGGTCCTTTCCCAAAAAGCACATATGAAATTGAATGTATTTATGCTGAAAGGAACTAAGTGCGAATGAATATAGACAACACAAATTATGTAGCACTTAGACCCCATACACATAGTTCCCTTTCATTTGATTCATTTTCATGCAGTTCCTTTTAGCATCAATACATCTGATTCACTGTCATTTAGGACATTTCCTAAGTTAAGCTCTGCCTGATTTCAAACTGTTAAGTCTCGAGAAATACTTATTTGCCACAACAGCGAATCACCATAAGTTTCTTGGATCATCTAACCTACATTGACAATGATTTTTGGCAAAAAAGTAGCCAAGGCAACAATCACGCACCAGCATAATGCATGTCCCTGATTGATATGTTGTCTCTTCATGAACCAAACACACTGTGAGCTTCTTACATAAAAACAGATTTCCTCATCAACAGCAGGCCCAAATTTTGGAGATTAAAGAATTTTCCTATGTCTTGCTAGTAGATCTTACTAATTTTACGATCAATTAATGTATGAAAAGGATGCCTTTTCTTATGATTTCATGATCCAAACCTAGGAATCTTCATCCAAGGCCTGCTCAACGTAAATTTTGCTGCAAAAGAACAAAACATGTTCTTTAAGGATTAAGCTTGAACTTTCACTGAATCAATTTTGCAAGATCTAAGAGGATTAACTTTACTTGAAGACAACCAGTTCCTGGCCACCTCTAAGGACCATTCGGATTAATTTCTGCACCTCTCGATGGGTTAGGCACTGATTCTGGCTTGTCAAATTCTCAATATATTGGAATTGCTAAAGTTTACAGCAATGGAGAGTTTCCTTGGGTGCGGAGGAAAAAAGAAGAGATTCTTGGAAAAATCAATCCAGTGTATTAAAATAAAAAAAAAAAACGATGTACAATGAAAATACAAATCTTAACGGTAAGACTTTTGGTAGCGGGCTCGGGCACCTGGACCACCGAATTTCTTGGGCTCGCACCGACGAGGATCAGCAACCATCAGCGTACGGTCGTATTGGATCAGGACGTCTTTGATTTCCTTCTTTGAGGCTTCGTCAACAACTGAAAAAAGAACAGAGAATCATTAAATGGGTGAAGAAACATCATTCCTTCCCAGTAAAAGCAACACCATTCAAAATTGAGAGTGTACATAAAGCACAATTTCTATAATTTCTTCATTGTCCAATTCCCCGACTTTCTTCTCCTTTCCTCTGACTCTAGAAATTTCTAGACTTCTCCTGACCTTTAAACAATTTTAAAATTCAGAATTCCTACTTTTAAACATTTCAATAGTGGAAAACGGTTCTCAGAAGCTGTTCGTGCTTTCTCGAATGGCGCTAATCAATGTTGCTAAGCCAATGCATTAATCACGGAATTCCTTGAATTTCTCTTTGAATTCCTACACTTTCCAGGTTTTTCAGACTGCGTAAGACCCTGACATCAACATGGAAGCCATGCAATATCTTTAAACCACCATCTTAATGAGTCGATGAAAGGGTTATGGTAGGTTAATTTTTGTCCATTATATTCCAGTTTATCAGAAGAAGCAGTTTCTCCTCAGAAATTCAGCACATATTATCGATTCTTCCTCATATTTCAGGCTCATTTTGAGCGCTGACATGCATCAACATGGACCAACAAATTTTTATTAAAAAAAAAAAAAAAAACCTACAGCGAACAGAGAAAAGATTCCCCTGATTAGATTCCAATTTTGTGTGTAAAAGACACCCACTGCTTCAATTAATCTCTTCTTCCACTTTCTACTGGGAGCGTTGAATGGAGAAGCAAGTCAAAAATTAACTCACCACTTTCAGTCACGAGCGGTACCTAACCCAACTCAAGGAAACGTGTAACTATCAGGGTCTAATACAAAGAGAAAATAACAACATTGAATAGCAAAAATGCGTGACCGCCTGATCTTCCTGCGTTGCCTGATTAGCCGATCAGACACCTTACAACTACTTTTGAATTCCTTATGGAAAATAACATGGGAAGTATACACCATGAATTTTTTTTGAATTCGGCCGATTTTTCGGGAAAGATATGTCCACGGCTGACTTTTCAAGTATTTGGCATTTCTATGGATGTATAATACTTTCCACTCTCTCAGAGATCTTCAATTTTAAAACATCAATTTTTTTTCACTTGGAACAATGTTTTTTCCTGTTCCGCTGACTCAAGTGGAAGATAGTTGAAATTGAAGAAATCAAGATCTTTGGTGTCCTTCAGAAAAAGTGGAATAAGTTAAACATCAATAGAAACGCCAACTCCTCAAAAAGTCTGCTGTGGACACCTTTTTCTCGAAAAATCGGCTGAGTTCGAAAAAAATAAATGGATTCGATTTTCTATAAAATTTTCCATAATGAATTCAAGATTGCTTGTAGGGTGTCTGATTGACTAAAAAGCAAACAAGGGAAGATCAGGTGCTTATGCACTATTGCTATTCAAAGTACAGTACTCCTTCATTTTCTCTTTAGTCTAATTTCAAATAAAAAATGAATAAGGGGCATCTTCTACGGAAGGGCATTATTTTATCTGGTAAATTCTATACTTTTTCCAAAAATGTTTAGTTTTTTTACGAGACCTTTCTTTCACAGTCCTTTAAACCAAGTTATCATATTTACTATTGAGGGCTTTTGGAAAAAAAAAAGAAAGTAGAGTAGCCTAAGAATACTCACATTTCTGATAGTAGGCTACTAAAGCTTTTGAGATAGCTTGTCTGATGGCGTAAATTTGTGACACATGACCACCACCATTTACACGAACTCGCATGTCAACATTAGAGAACTTTTCCTGCAAAGATAAAGAATATATTTTAGTTCACTTCATACAATCTAAAATCTGATAATTTCTTACATCATGCCAGGACCATGATAATTAAAAAACAGTTCAATTATTGCACAGTTATCGCTGATAAGATTTTGGGCTTCTACCAAAGTTATCAATTACTTTCAGAGAAGTAATTTTTGCTCCTACTGGGTCAGTGGTTAAAGAACTGTAACCCTATTGCCAAGGAGGATTTATACAGAGCCCTTGACTCCCATAAAAGTCAATGTAAAAGTCTGTGAGCAGTTACTAGTGCTGCAACCTTGCACAGGATGCTCACAACCAACTGCTGTTAGAGCAAAGTCATCGTATGTTGAGCCAAAAGCGAAGTATTGTTCAAGTCACCACTCATCAGTGGTGCCGTCTGACTGCATGTCTTAGACCTGTTGAGTGGTGCTGATTCAGAGCTAATCAGAGATTGACATTAATCTCAACATACGATGACTCTGCTCAATCAGATGTTAGACGTCACAAAAAATCTGTAAGATCACATATATCTGCCATTAATCAGCCCATCAAAATATGGCCGGCCCATTCTTATCAAAGGGGGTCAGAAATCGTTAAAAATGTACCAATTTTTCAAGAATTCATCCGCCCTGTAGGTTATTTTCCAATTATCTGCTTGACCTCACTTTTGGTGCGGACGATGGTTGGGTCAAGGTTCAGGGGAAGGATCCTTAGAGTTTACAGGGGTCCTACACAAGGTTGCATAGCCATCCGCTGGTCACACTAGTATGGTTTCCGCTAGAATTCCCTACAATTGCTAATAAGTTCAACCTAGAAAAGTTGATATTTCCTAGATTGACAGATTATTTTCAAACAAGATTTTTTTTTTTTTCTTTCTTTCTTTCTATATCATTTACACTTACTAACTGACGCAGTTGAACTCTATTATAGAAAATCTCAGGCTTGACAAGCTTGTATCTTTACTCAAACTTGATTCATCTGAGGTTAGTCATGAGGATGAAATGAGATAAATCTGATCAATAATGACTACTGTACAAAGAGAGGAAGCAATTTTTAACACTTACCTTTCCTAATAATAGAATTGGTTCTTGCAATTTGTATTGTAAAACTTTAGGTTCAATCATGTCCAAGGGCCTTCCATTGACACGGAGATTTCCCTTCCCTCTCTTACAGTATGCAACAGCTGTTGCAGTTTTCTGGAAATAAATAGAGAGAAAATTAGTAAAATGTCGGGAATGAAATAAAAGGGAAACAAAATGAGATTACTGAGACATAATTGATCACCTCAAAAAAAGTACAGTCGGGCAGATATTTTGAGATCTTGCTTTAAGGCACCAATTAACTCTTGAGATCTTTATTTTCTCCAACATTAATTTTAGATAGATTAAACAGGTAAATTGTGCAATTGAATTAGCTCTTACAAAATCTTTAGATGTCTATTTTCCCTAAACTTTAATAAACTGTAAAAAACTATACAACCCTATTTCGTGGGTTTGAATAGTGTCCAAAAACTGACCTTAAAATCCAAATCTTCAGACTGCCAAGGGTCTTTAGAATGATACTTCAAGAGATGAAAGATAGACAAAGGCAGTCTACACTTGGCTGAGACAGCCAAGGAAAAAAAACTTTGCGGGGAAAGTTGGCTTGATGACCATTGCTGTTAGGTTAATTCACCACGATCAGCTTTTAATTTCTCTCCAGGTGATATGAATAATGCTATTAAAATTAAGATATTCAGTTAATGCTGAAATTTTCCATTCATCAACACCATTGATTGAACCACTGTACAGGTGTTTCCTCAATATTTGAACATTTTGAGTGTCTTGCAACCTTTTTGATCAATTGTTCTTAGATTGAAAACCCAACAAGTTTCACAAAGATGATTTAAGAGGCATTGGTCTACTCTTCCTTGTAGCGCTCAGAATCATTCAATGGCATGGCAAGCTTTGGATAGATTGGTTGATCTACTCACCATTCCAACACATGAAAATGGTTCAGTTATCAGGATGTTCGCAATGGACGCTTTGATAATCAATTCTTTACCATACCTTCAAATGGGAAAATATGGATAGTTGATGGTTCACACCTCAACACTGGAATTATTAAACATTGATAATGCACTTCAATGAAAAGCATCGCTCACCTTACGTCCAAAAACTTGCACACATTTGATAGCGACTGCTTTCTTGACAACTTTACGCTGTCCTGGGGCTTTTGGTTTCTTTTCCTTCTTCTTTTTAGGTGCCTTTTTGGGTGTCTTCTTGGTGATAGCTTTTACAGCCTGAAAAAGGAGAAAGAGAATTGATGAATATACACGAACTACCTGATGATTGAACAGCACTATGAGCATCTCTTGCCTTCCAAAAAAACGCTAGCACTCTAGAATGATGGGTGATAAGTAGAGCAAGTCATTTAAAGTTTTTAGAAATGGATTCATATGCAGTCAGCATGAAAGCTTTGGCAACTTATTAAATCCTGCGCCACACATGCTTCCTTCCTGTGAGAAGTATTTGGAGCTACTAAAATTACGATGTTGTTCACATTTTGAAAATATCTTGACCAAACCCATAGAACAGGCAACACCCACTGCTGTTCCGGGGTACTCGAATATACAAGAGCTGCGCTAAACTGACCTCAAACTGTGCACCAGCTTGCTCATGACATTCTACAACAAAATTTGCTGCCTAAATCACAGAATATGTAGGCTAGCGCAAACAGAGGGTTCACTCCCGTTTACTTCAATGTATCACATTTTGTACTTTCCAGCATTTCTGCATTGTTGCCAAATGATTGCCTTAATTTGTGTCTGAAAGTAGCTGGAGAAAGGCACGCTGAAGAACAAACCGGCAACGTTAAGGGCCGCCCTGGACTCCGATCCGTACATAAAACGTAAACATTGCTTCCTAGCACTGTACTTCTCCTTCAACAGAGAAGTGCTGGGAGTGAACCTTCTGTTGGCGCTAGCCTGTATATTCTGCGCCTGAATGGCTTTCAACTGGCTCTGTTCAACAGTTTAAGATATGAATTTAAATGGCACTGGTGATAAGTTGAGGCGTAAACAGGACATTACTTGAGTTAATGCGTATAAAAGCTGACTCCAATTAGTGTAGGAATAACGAATCCTGATGCACAGTTCAGCAACAGGGTAAATATGATGGTTGAAGTGTCCGAAATAAGGAAAGGCGTTTAACACAATGGCCTGAGGTTTCGATAAACAGCGATCGACATCAGTAACCATGCCACATAGATAGGTACTACAGGCACATTGGCATAGTGGAATTCTGAGCTGCTGAGGCATAACAGTGCAAGAAACAAGGTAATTTCATCCTAGATAAACAGCGCGATAAGGGACTTTAGGCGTCCGTAATGGAGCGAATACGGTAAAAATGACGGCAAATAGGCGCAGGACATGTGGACCATGCGGTCTTACCTTCTTCTTCTGGAGCAGTTTGATTTGCTTCGGTGCATCCTTCGCTCCTTTTAAAGCCTTCTTGGGTTTCCTCGCTCGCCTCCTTTTGGACGTCTTACCGTCAGGTTTGGGTTTGGCCTCGCCGGATTTAACTTTTTTCGCGTCGTCGGTCGTCATGATGGAAAACCACTTGCACGTAAGTAACCTAAACGAAAAGACGAAAGCGAGGTAAAATGGCGGCGTCCCTGTGTACTTGCGCAGGGGGCAGGAGCAGTGGCGGAGTTGTCAAGTTCTACTCTGAAATACATTAATTTCAATGTTTATTTTGAACATTATCCCAGAATCGAATAGAGACAATATTTTCAACTAAAATTATTTTCGGAGGTATTTTCTAGCTTTTTACTACCACTGTAATGATGAATATTGTTTATTCATGATACTGGATTGATTGACTTTACAAATAATCTAAACCTATAGCTTGGCAGCAGTGCAGTGACGTATGAACCAATGAGAATGAGATCTTTAAGCGCGCAGTTCAAAAGAGATGTGTTTAGTGGAATTCTAATTTGAGTAAAGCCTTATACGACTTACGGTTTCCCTATGCTATTCTATTGTTTCCTATCTTTGAGAGCGCGAACGAATATCAGCCACTGAAACTATAAATACTGAATTAAAATTAAGGAACTCCTGATACCTTTAGAAGTCTCAGAATTACATTGGAATCTGAACAGGCTCAACTTTTGGCGCAAATAACGCTGCAAGAGACGCAATGGAAGATTAAATATGTTTTTAGAAGTTTTTAGGTGCACACTGTAAGTCCTACAGTAGTGCTGAATGCAACTTTGAAAAATAAGAACAGTAATTACGTAAAGTGTACGAAGTGAAACTGATATAAGTAAATTTACAGGAAAAAGGGAGGTACTGTTTGTCAGGAATTGGAGTTGATCACTAGTTTTGATGTAAAATGCAAAATGTAGCATTTAATATGAAATTCTTTCCTTACTGGAGAAAGATATAATGTGCAAAACTTTACCAGAAAATGGGACCCTCTTTCATTTATTGTTGTTTGTTCACTTATTTCAACTTTTCAACTCAACAATGAAATTGGAAAACAAATCGGCAAGTCAAATCATGGATGTGCGACTTCAGACACAAAAGAACAATCAATAAAAAGGAAACATTTTATTTATCAATCAACAAAGTACTTAACAGGACAAAAGTAAAAGAAACACTAGATGAGTATAACAAACTCACATATATGAGCAAGTCATTTTGTAGAAAAAAATTAATGCTGAACAAAAATATATCATTCTGCGCATGACACAACATACCTACAGCAACATAATTAGAATGAAGTTAAAGACATAAATGTGGTAGTTAATTACACGGAAAGCGATCCCCTTTCATCAGAACAAATTAAATTTGGTAAAATAAGGCCTTGTTTAATCAATGTTTGTTAATAGACCTAAAAATGTTTATCTCTGGTAAGTGCATTTAACTATTGTTATCGGTTTAAAAAAATTGACAAATTTATAAAGCCTGAAATGCAAAGAGGCTTGCATATTGGCGGGAAATCGTCACGTAAAAACACTCTTTTTTGAGGTAAGTAAGACAAAAACCAAATCAAATGCGTACCTATTTTTGCAGAAATTACATAGGGCAGACACTGTTTTCTCTTTGTACACAGCCTATAACAATCCATTATATGAAGAAAACACTACAAGAAAATTCTTCACCTACAGCAGAGGTCACATAAATTATAAAAAATTTCTGAAACTGTGGGTTTGGTCTGGATGAATCTGAATCATATTAACATTTACCCTACCTACTTACCTTATTTGTGATCTTTAAACATGAACTAATTTTGTTCCACACTTAAAAATTTAGTTTTGAGCAACATGCTGACGATAGGTTACCAGACAAGGTATGAATCAAAGCACCATGTTGCATGTGTCCTCAAAATTTAAAAAGAAAGCAATTCACGCAACAGGAAGTTCAAAAATTAACCTGTAAATGAGATGTTAACATGTATGCTGAACACAAATAAAAAGGAACAAAAATCACATAAATAGTGTTATCTTTAAGGAGGTAATTTTTGGATTTCCTAGGATGAGAATCTTTTCTACTAGACCACTGGACAAGGCATAAAATTAAGCCTTAGGACATATGCTTTCTCATCAAAATTTAACATAGAGGACAATCTGTGACCGTATGGGGGACTGTACTCAGTACTGTCACAGGTTTAGCAAGCCTGCGGACCCCAGCTGGTAGCCCCTGCCTTAAAGGGGGGTGGAGATGGTCACCGGCTTCATGGCGTATGAACCACTCATCAGAGGAGCAGACAGGGCTCATAGCTGTGGTGAAAGCAGCCTGTCTAGGAGACGGTACTCCAAAATCAAACCCTGGTCCTCCAGGTTGGGGGTTGGGGCATCGTGCTAACTCCCCGATACCCGGAAAAAACTTAATGTTAAAAAGCCTAATAAAGATAGCCTCGGTGATAATGGAAAAAAACGGATTTTGCGACACAAACTACAGAAAAGGACAATGGTTTTTGGGACATGGAATGTACAGGGCATTTCTAATAAATTGACTGAGGTTGTATCGGAGGTAAAAAAGTATAATGTAGATGTCGCCGTGTTAACAGAAACGAAAAAGAAAGGCACAGGATCAGAAAACTTAGGATGTTATGATCTGTTCTATAGTGTGGACAATCTGTACAAAGAAAATATCTGAAAATAACTCCTTACCAAGATATTAACATTTCCCATTGCATAAAATCAAACATCCTACCAATAAAAGAACAATAATCTAGTTGAGTTAAAGCACACAATAAACGTTACTGCAACAGTCGTTGCAGTATAAAAATATGACAAATTCAATCTCGGCACTTAAACTCAGCTATTGCAAGTTTCTTACGCTTAGGAGAATGCAAGGTGGGAAAAGTACACTGCTGATCGAAAAGACTGCCAAAACCGTTGTAGCGTGAATTGATTCTAAAGGACTACGGTTTTTCTTGTGAGCGGTAAATTAAAATTTCTCATAACCAGTGCTGAATAAAAACGTTAGTATCTTGATTGGGAGATAATTTCAGTAATTATCGTTGTGCAAATCGTTTCGTCAGTGAAATTTTGAAGAAAACTTATCAGAATGCTTTTGTACTTTGTCTTGTGGTCCATTGTAAGTAAAATTTAGGAGAGAAAACAGGTGATGGATGGAGAGCTTTGATTTGTATCTTGTCTGGTGTGCCATTGTAAGAAATTTTATAAACGTTAGCAGAACCAATTCAGAAAAACGTTTTTAGCGAAGAGATGACTGCCATTTCTGTGGAGAATCAGTACAAATATGTATAGAGTCAAATGTAAGGAAGAAGCAAAAACGGTTAAAGAGAAATGTCATAAAAACATGAAAAATTCGGAGCTATCAAGACTTAACCCTGTGATGAGTTTCTGAATGAAAATAATGATATATGTAGTAACTTAGTTTGTACAAGCAATGTAAAGGTTTAAAAAATAAAGAAATCTTAAAAATTAGAGGTGAGAAAAATTACATAATAATGACAAAAAAATTCTTATAGGATGAAAAGTAAACAAAAACATAACATTAATTCTGGCTTTTCTAACAAGAGTACGCCTCAGCTTTTGGCACAGGGCCCAACATTTCCTAAAAACTCATAAAATGGCTCAAGTTGTAATATTGAAGAACCCCGGAAGAACTGACTTGTATTGTGAAAGATTTTGAGAGTGTGGACAACTAACCAGAGAAAATATACACTTCAAGGATTATGACTGATATTTATTAATCTCGAGTGCCTTAAAATCTGGTTTGCCTTAAGGGCCCCTTAGTACTAATTCGGCCCGAATTAGTACTTAACAGAAATAATTTGTATGTATCTCATTACCAACTGATCAACAGACAAGGGTTGAAGCTTACAAAATATTCGAGATTTTAGCCATGATCTTGAGTCTCGATGTTATAATTTTCATTGTTAAGAGTCAAAATTAAATGCAGATTTTTTAGAATTTAATACAAAGCAAGAAATGAGGGTGTGTCAACTCCCTGAAGGGCTTTGAGAGGATAGGAGACTAGGTGTCACTGAGTGCCAGAGAGCGCCATAAAAGCGGCTCCTAATGTATGTATAAGACGAATACCTTTTTCTTTTCATGTAAAATGATGTTCGGTCGTAGGATAGTAAATTGAACATTTCTTTGCTCCAATGGTCTGTGGTCCCCTTGTTACTCAAAATATTCAGAAACTAAAAACGTCCTTTTTCTTTTTGAAAGGAAAATGTATAGAAAGGTAGTTTATGGCTTTGAACGCCCCCTAACCACTGAAAAAAAAGAGAGAAAAAAAAAAATTTAGAGATGCTGATCAATAATAAAATTGCAATTGTTCTTTGAAGAATTGGTATGATAGACTCACATAAAAAATTTAAAGAAAAACAACTTAATAAAAAAAATTATCTATGGTTGGTAGAAAATTTTCACCTAAATTTTACAAGCTTTGATAGGAAATCCCAAAAGGCCTTTGAAATAATTCTTCAAGTTTCTACCCTAACATTTTTTCTTGGATGTTTCTGAAGAGACCTTTCATGAGATGTTACCTATAAATAAGAGTTGGAAGAGAAAAAATTGGGAGCACAAGTCGATTCATGACTTAGCCAAGAAGAATGTAGAGACTAGGGGAAGATGATCGGAGCCACAAAAGAGATTTGGAATTGTTTTCAGGTAATCTGCAGCTTCATTTGCCGAAGGCAAGCCTTTGAAGGATACTAAACGCAGGCTAGACTCTTGTTCTTGTTGTATTACAGGACTGAAAAAAACAAGAAGAAAACCGAATTAAGAAAAAAGTAAACTTCTACGTCAATTTATGAAACTAATTTTCTCCGGTAAAATAATGGCAGAGGATTAATTTAAGATAACAATAAAATTTTCTTTTGATAGAATCCAACTTCAATAAAGTCGGCGTTGTAAAAACTGCTAGCCTCTAGGGGGTAGGTAATGAAAATTGTTTAGACATTTTCTGGATATTTCTGGGAGGTTAGAGTGAGCATAAACCAGACTGCCATACTGATTTAACAAGAAAATATTTCTAGTGGATTTCAAGGGTGTTTATCAGTTATAAAAAACCAAAATTGGGGACTTTCGAGGATATGCGGGACACCCTTCCAAAATCGAGGATAATCGGGGACAGGTAGACATCCTGGTTTCCACTCATTTTACTGATTGAAAAATAAATTAATGAATTTTAATTAATGCAATTTTTTTCTTCAGAGGGTAAATACATATATTTTTTAACCAATCATGGACTAATTTCAGCAGACTGAAAATTTTCTTACCTGTAAAATATGTAGTCAACAGTGATCCACCAATCTTGATGCGTTGTCACTTCTGGTACACCATTCTTCAAGTGAGGATAGACTGACTTGAATTTTAAGTTATGAGATAGGATTCCAGTGCCGTATCTGATGTAATAAAATCAAATACATACAAGTCAATATAATATAAATTTATTAAAAAATAATTTTACTTGCTCATTCATATCTCATTGTACTTCATTCAAAAGGGGGAGAATTTAGATGGGCGTTTCTGGGGAGTCTCAGGTAAGACAGATTTTTTTTTTGTACTCATTTTAATCATGAATCAGCAATCATATTAAATTTGATGCCACTTTAAAAATATCTTGGGCACTTGTACCTGCTGAAGGCTAAGCATTGCGTACACAATATGTGCTTAACATATGTGTACCAAGCAAATGCAGAAGATACTGTATTTTAACGACAGCACTGAAAATAGGAAAAAACAGATAAGAATAATAGATAAATGTGTGCTCACACCATATAAAATGGAAAGTAAAAAAAGAACATTACAGTTAAAAGCAAACTACTGTCTTCCGCTTGATACTCTACTTTAACAAAATAAGATAAAAACAAGACAAACAAACAGGAGACAGGGCTAACAGTATTTATGAAAACCCTGAAACCTTTCAGCTGAAGACCGAACCGTTATTGGATGGTAAAAAAACTAAATTTTGTATAAAAATAAAAATTAAAAACCTGAAAAATTGGTTTAGAGCTCCAGCACAGCAAGAATTTGAAACAGTATTACTGGTTGATGACTTTACAAAGACAAAACTCAACATCACTCTGTTACAACTTATTGCTTCTACTTATATTAACATTAACAAGGAGCATGAGGCAAATGGTACTAACTTGCTTTGTGAATCTGTTCTGTTGAGATTCCGATCATCGCTGTCCCTCCAATTGGGCTCCTCACTTCGCCGATACCGATCACTTCTCCGTTCACTGTTGTATAGCTGTAGCAAGGACAAATAAAAGAAATATATGTAACTGGACACAAAAAAAGCACCTTAGTCACAAAAAATCGACAGTGAGTTATTGAAATTAAAGACAAGACAGAAGTTCTACAGCAATTTGGGACAAAAAACGCCCTATAATGCGCAACAAGACCAACGTTCCGGCAGTTTGAAATTTGCAGTTCTTCCTTTGTGTCCTCCTTCTACCATAAATGAGATTCAAGCTTAGGTATACCTCAGCTAAACATTTTTTTGATATTTCCAAATTAAAATCGAATTCAGCTTTTGAAATGCCTTATAGCAGATTGATACCAATGGATTTTTGGAGTGGCACAGATAATCATTCTACTATTGCAAAATAATCTGTCTAGCTACTGTCAGCCATTTAGCCCCCACGGAATCTACCGGTGCAAATTGGATTAAATGGTGTGCCAGGAAACAATTAACTTAATTATTGCTGCTTTTCCCACTTCATGTTTCATGATGATCAATATTACCTACTTTCACTCAAAATTGATTATTCATTTTTCATCTTACCGACACTAGGCGACTTTCTTCCTCTATTGACTGCCTCATGAATGTCCGTTGGGAAATGAGTTTTTCATGTTGGCAATTATCCGTTATGCCTAAGTATGGAGGTAACAGGACTTTAGGTAAAGTGTGAAAGCTATTTGGTGAATCTAAACTTGAAAGGTTTCTTGAGGACAGCTGTTCGTATTGAAGCTTGCCTTCTGTGATGAGATTGTAGACACCTGACTGTGGTGACAGATTCATGTCTCCTGTTAAAATACACGGGTGATACATCGGGATCAGTCTGAAATGAGAAAAAAATTCATGATTTCGATTGAATTAAAGTAAAAACGGTTGCTTCTAGTAAAATTTGAAAAGCTTCAGACTTTTCCATGACTTGACCAGGGTTTACAGAAAAAAAGCCCCGCCAACATATACTGAAATTCTCTGACAAGCCCTAATTTTACTAACAAAAATAAAATCACTGAATATAGAGATGCCGAGATTCCCTGAGTTCTCTGTCCGTACCAAGGAAGTCCTAGGGATTAACATGAAAATTTCCTTGCGTTTCAGATAACCAGAATTTTCAGTTACCATCGTCAGGTAATAGTAAAAGTATATGATTGTCACTGCAACACTTCGAATAAAGGAACTTCCTAACCGTGATCGAAATTTAATGATTTTTTCGATGCTTCCATGGTTTTTTTTAAAATTCTCTGACTTTTTCCTGTTTTCTCTGACTCTTGCGACTGACTTTGAATTTAAGAATTTAGAATCTGAATTGAGAATCGATACTGCCACCAGCTAACCTACAGCATTGCTGCAGTAGTTCAAGAATAAATTATTTAGTTTTGTTTACTTGTCGCCTTGTCTTAATGCTCCGCTGAATGCGAGTCGCTCCACTTCCGCGAGCAGGAGTTGCATTTGGACAAGTTTGATGTCATGTCTTTTGGGGTTGTACAAAAGGTGAGTTGTGGCAACGATGAATTCATTCCCTTCGGAATCCTTCGGTTCGAATCGAGCCACGATGCCAATATTGTCACGGTCCAGGAGTCTCACACCAGGCTGATAAAATTCTACAAAGGCGTGCTCTTTCAATGTCAGTTTGTCAGGCCGATAGTATATTGCACAGCCATCAATTTTGTCGTTTGTTCGCTTCTTAAAAATACCTGTGTAACCTGAAAAATTTTCAAAATTATTAAAATTTCATACATGTAGTTATGAGACCATTTGAGGTAGTGGCATAAATATGTAGGAATCTTTGTAACCCCCGCCCCTACGTTTATGGCTCTGTGCCTATTTTCTATTCTTTCTTTAATTTTTGCACTCTCCGCAATGCTGCAAGCGCCCTTCCCCCTCCATCCCCACCCCCAAAGGCAAGAGGGATAGTTACACTACTGATCTGGAAGAAAAGACACCTCATTGCTGTAAGATTGAACATTTTGATAGGACTTCGATCAGTGAATGTCCTAAGTCCCAAAATGTAGTTCTTTCATTTATAATAGTTAGGACAGAGAAGTTCAAAGGACAGTTCTGACAGATTTTATACATTTTTTGCTTCAAGGGAAACTTTAACTTTAATAAAATTGTAAACCCAAAACTTACCTAGATTCTTGAGTTCTGATATGGCGTGAAAACTTTGTTCCTCAACTTCTTGCAAGGTCAGTATCTGAAGGAAAAAATTCAGTATTATGATAAAGACGACTGTGCAGAAACTATAAACTGGAGAAATAACAAGGAGGGGCCCTCCAAGGTTCTCTAGTTCAGCAGTATCCGTATTCTCTTAGTGAGCAGCTCCATTATCTGACCAAAGAGTTTATAATACTAATGAATATGTGGTAACTGGAAATTGAATCAGTGAGTTTGAAAACACACCAACTCGGGTTTTTATTGATTTTCACTTGTTTACGGTTTAGTAACACTTATGGATAGAAGCATCTGCACGCAAAAGGAAATTTCGAAATTGCAATCGGAAGTGCTCAAAACAGCGACAGGAAAAGGGAAGAATCGAAGTATTCATTGGAAATACCAATTTTTTTCCATTTCAAGGGAAATGGGTGACCATCCGATTTTGCGGTTTTCTTTTTTTGGTTCAGTATACCTTGTACCAACAAGTTATACAAATATTCTAAGGTAAAATATTCTATTCTACTAATATAAGGTCGAAAAATATAATTTTTCAGGGCAGACTATGAAAAATCAGTATCTGAAAGTCGGTGAGAACGAAAACACACCAACTCGGAAATTTTTAAACGTTTAATTCTCTGTCATTAAACATGGTGTATCGATTTCAACTTAGTGCTTTACAAAGTCTCTAAGTACTTGTCCTTAGGCACCAAAAAGGTTTTTCTTAAACTAACTTCTTTGCCCCTTGCGCAGTTTTAGGTGTTCCCTGAACAATTTTTTTTTCCGAGTTAGTGTGTTTTCGAACTAACTGATTCAATTAAGGCTTAGATATTTGATTCATGCATTGATTTTATGCAGAACATGATATTTACTGACATTTTCTTTTCCAAGTCCGTCCAAATTTTTCCGTTACTATGCTAGGTGTTAAGTGGATCCTACTTTTTGAAGCAAAAAGTTATACAGAGCAAGAGAGGGGAGAATTTATAGAGTGGTGCTATGCTTACGTCTGCATTAGAGTCCTTGATTTCTGACAGAATTTGAGTCTTGCGATACTCCCAATCCAAGGAAACATTGAGGCTATTTGAGTAAAGGTATCTATGTTGTTCCATCAACTTTTGAGATAGAATGTTCCATGAGAGAACTCGAAAAACAAAACCTTCACGACTGAGTTTTGGAGCGGCTTCTGGACAAAATGGTTGACAGTGTTTCAGTTAAAAATTTGGTGAAGGAACTACAAATCTTGACAAAATGAAAGCAAACTACCTATTCTTTCAAAGCTGAACGGCAAACAAAAAAAAAGTTAAACATTTCTAAAAATAACTCTTTTATCAGCAAAAAAATAAAACTAGAATATAATTAGTGATATTTGAAATATTAGTTAGGTACCTTACTTAGCGACCATTCGTGGAATGCATCATGATCTAGGGGTGGAAAGGGGTTGAGGAGAGCATTAGACTATTTGGTATTTAAAAGTGAAAGGATGGGGACCTAAATATGAGTGTTGCAGAGCACCAAAGAGTGCTGTAAAAGCGGCTCTCATGTATGTATCTTTTACTGACTTACTTTTTCTAAAATGAAAAGAGTCTTGAGCTCCTCTTAAAATATGTCTCTTGATGAAGTAAGGAAAAATTGAGAACTTACCATTTGCAAATATTTCTTCGCCAAACTTGGTGAATTGTTCTTGACGAATTTCCTCATACTTTTCTTTCCCTTGCTTGGCTGGAAAAAATGCAAATCAAAAACTTGATGAAAATGTTCACTTCAAGACATTTCCAATGCAAAAAAGGGGC